TATCGATCCCTCTACCTCTCGCATGCTAAGCGAGCGCTCTACCATTTGAGCTAGACGCCCCTGAGGGGTCACCTGACCCCCAACACAAAGAAAAAGCAACCAGAAAGACTACAAAGAATGCTTGATACATTAAAGACAGGGTCTAATTTGTCCATTCACACACTGTGCCCCTTGCGAATACACATATTTACATATACACGTAAACACATATATCTGTAAATGTGCAAGTGTATATTTGGAACTGTGCTTGACTACGAATGCGCCTCTGTTCCCTCGATGACGGGGGAGAAAACCACCTCTTGCAGCCTCTTCTCAGCCTTTTCTAGAAGTCATCAATCGGTGTTTATTGCAAATTGTACTAAAAACTGCACAGAACATGAAGAAAATGAGACCAAGATTCTAGTATCTACACAACACACTCGAATAGAGCGTACTAGTCAAGGGCGTCTAGCTCAAATGGTAGAGCGCTCGCTTAGCATGCGAGAGGTAGAGGGATCGATACCCTCGTCGTCCATACTTTTTCGCACTGCATAGTTGCCCATTTGGCTTTGTTCTCGTTTTAATGCACATAGTTGACCATAAAAAGTAATTCCAATTCCTCTTCAATTGTTAACGAGAGGAATAGTCATCATGAGACAACGCAGACAACAAACGCTATGCTGGCAAGTCGGCGCATGCAGCTGCTATGGCGGCTCTGTTGCAGTTGCCACCACCAAACAGTGGTCATGACACCACAAAATGCTTAGTTGCTTATATTTTTCTAATTAAGAACATACAGTTAAACAGAAATATTTGTGGTTTTCTCGCATCGGGGCCTCCCTCCCAGCACCCACAGTGTGCCGACGAGGCCCCCGTCGCTTGGTAAGCAGGAGGACGATAAAACTTTCGCTTCCCTCATTTCTTACTAACATCGCCTCTGCATCATTTGCTCTGTGACGTGTACTATCGAGAGCCCCAATTGTGCATCGCCGCCGCTGCTGCTGCTGCTGTTGTTGTTTGTGCAGCTGCTGACTGCCGTTGGACAGGACCGGCAAGAAGGATGGCGTTTGCTGCTACATCGCGAGCCTTCGGCGGCTCTTTAGGGAGGACACTGCTCAGGTGCTTTCTTGCAACTCCTCTTTTACTTTTATAAAACCTAAGTTCTCAAACGCTAAATCCTTTTGTGTCATGGTTGTCGGCAGTCCTCATACTTCTGCCCAGCTGGAGTCAACCAAGCAACATTGTTCTTCTCTCTGAGGTTTATGCATGCATGTTTAATAGTGAAGCGGAAGCGGCATGCTGCCGAAGCAGGATACGCATTTGTTGCTGTTGCCGTTACTCCCCCGTATGCATGCTGTTTTCAAGGATTTATGGTTTAGAGTGTACGGTGTGCTCAGGGCGGGCAATGGCTTAGGGTTTTGCGGAGCGCGTTTTGGTGCTCTGGTGCGCTATCTTAAGGAGTCATCGGCAGTATTATTGCAGCATTTCAGTTTAAGTGTCTCTTCTTGGGTGTCTGTCCCTCCTGTATATATAAAGGTCGATTGGCGGTGTCTTCAGTTATTGAGCTTTCGTTTTCCTGTTGTTACTGTTCTCTCCCCCTGTTAATGCTTAAGCAACATATTTAGCTGCCTTCAATTGTCCCTCTTCATGCATGCGAAGTGGCATTTGTTGTGGTGTCTGTTTCTGTATCTGTCCTAGTGTCTGTCTCAATGTCTCTGTTTAAGTGTCTCCCTTGATGTATCCTTTTAGGTGCCTACTTTGATGTCTCTGTCTTAAAGTCTCTCGTGGTGTCTCCTTTTACATATCATTGTCTGTGTAAGTGCCAAAATATCTGTCTTGATGTCTCTGCTTAAATATGTATCTTGTCTTCCTTCCCATATGTCTGTTTGGGAGTGTCCGTTTAAGTATATATCGTGGTGTGCCTGCGCAAATATGTCTCTTTGTGTCTGTTTAAACAGTTGCGTTTGCCGCCTTCCTTTACATCTGTGCTTACGTCGATATAAGCGTATCTTTCTCTGTCTTGTTTGGTGCCTCCGTCTCATTCCTTTGTGTTTCCTCCGCGTGATGTTGTGTCTTGCTATTGGGTTGTTTCTTTCTTTTAACTGCTTATGTCTGTTTGTTCCGTTTATCGATTCGTTGTTTAATTATGTGTTTGGCGTTTTCGTCTCCCCCTTCTGCACTCAGAGTCCACTGGGGGGCTGGCTGTATCCTGGCCTCGCAGCAACAGCAGCAACAGCAGGGGGTTTCAGCAGCAGCGCTGGTAGGGGCCCCCTGGGTGCTCCCTATGGAGCCCCCATTTCCCCACATGGGACACCTTTGGCGAGTGCACCAACGGGAGCAGTGACCACCCTGGCATCTCCTCTCAGAAGAACCACCCCAGGATTGTTTCCTTCACCAATGGTCATTGAGTTTCTTAGGCCCTTAAAGATGGTGAACTTTGCAGTTCAATATCTGTTATCGTTTCGGTTCTACTTCATGTTCATGGCCCGCACCACTTTTCAGGTGTGCATACACCAGAAGTATACCTATATTAACCCCAAACCCCTAACCATAGAACCCGCATTCAATGTTGACTACAAACCAGACCAAGTCGCACAGAGCCTGTCGAGCGCTAGGCTTTATGATGTGCTAGACTTCATGGTCGTCGAATTTGATAGCTTCTTTCGGTATGAGGCTTAGGATTTAGGGCTAAGGGCAGAGGGTTTCAAACGCTCGCGTGGTATGAGGGTTTAGGGTCCCTGCGTGCGTCTGCCTCACAGGCTGTGCGGCCTCTGCTTGCATTTAGCGTGTTTGGAGAAGTCATGAAGATGGTCTTAGCGACGATGAGTTCAGGCTTGTTTTCTTTCTTGTTCTCTTTTGTTCTAGCATTTGAGGTCCTATACTTTTTCCTTCAGTGCTACATCAGCTACACCTTCCTTACTATGTTCTTCACCGTCATGTTTTAAACTGCCAAACACCGTGGTGCTACAGCTGCCGCAGCAGCAGCAGCTATAGCACCAGCCATGCCGCCTGTAATGAATGCTAGCAGCAACACTTTCGGCTGACAACCTCAGTAGAAGTGATAAGGGCTGCATTTGCCAGTATGATTTCGCTTCAGACGTTCTTTAAATCTGTGGGGGTCTAGGGTTTCTGCTGTAGGATTTAGGGTTTGGGGTAGCAGTGTTGGACTTAGCGTCTAGGGTTTACAGAGAGTCTCTACGTCACCTGCCCCCACAGAGGCTCCACCTATGCATAGCTGTTGCTGCGGCACCGCTGCCGCTACGGTCGCCAAGGGGCGCTGACGGCATATTTCACATGCTACTGCCTGTGCTGAGATGTGCAGCAGCGGGAGCATCGCAAGCACACTTGAGCGTCTTTAGTGCACGTGTTCAACCTGTGCCATCTTTCGATGCCATGCAAGTGCTGCTGCTCTGTTTCCGTGCTGTTGGTTGGGCATCCTGCTGGTAGACAGAATGCAGTAACTGTAAAACGTCTTGGCAGTACTCCTCCCCTACCGGCGTAGATTGCCATGGCAGTAACGACGACACACACGCCGTTGTTGCACCTGCTAGTGTGGCTGCTGCTGTTGTGCTGCTTCCTGCTTCCGCTGCTGCCGCACTGTTTCCGCTGTTGTTCGAGCAACCAAAGCAAGCAACCTCCGCGATAGGACGCTCATAGAGCCACAGGGACACTGCACGTTCTTGTAGCCCCAATGGGGCCTCATAGGTCTCCTGACGATCACATGGCTTCACAACGGGCCCCTGAAGGGGGCCCCTTAAACTCTCAGAAAGTTCCATTTTACTGAACCCTCCTAAACCAAGTTCAGTTACTTCGGGAGTCCGGTACACCTCCAATTGACGCCCCTACGGGGCATTTCGGAAAAAGGGGAACCCTAGCTAACACTGCAGGGGGGGCCTACACAGGGACCTTGCCTACCGCTACAGGGGCCCATACAGAGGGCCCTCTGTGAACCTTCGAACGTGGGCTCTACCGTGTCCTTCAGCTGCCGTCATGTGTTTCTGCCTGGGGTCGGCGAGGGGTGTCAATGTGCCCTCAGTGGGCCCCCTTCGGCGGCTTCTAAGGGGATTTCAGGCGGTCTGCCAACGACCGCCTGGGGTTTCCGCGCGGCAGTAAGAGCCCCGTTGAACTCTCCAGGAAGAAGTGTAGGGGAGCCCTTGGTTGTCTGTGGCTGTGGCCCATGGGTCGCAACTTGTGCCCCAACGGAAAATGCATGAACTGCATGTTGTGGATTCCATGAAGCTGACAGGCTTTGTAGCACGCGGGGACCCACAGGGCGTTTACACGGGTTTACGGTGCCTGGATGCCATCTATGTAGCGGCCGGGGGCAAGGAATGGGTGGGCTAGCAGCTGCTTAGCTGTCCAGCGTTTGCAAGGGTCGATTTGGAGCATTTTAGAGACGAAGTCAACAAAGACATCATCTGTACAGCGGAGGCGCTGATGGAGGCTTGTGCGTTTGGGTACAAAGAACCGAACAATTCGGCTGGTGCTGCTCCCAATACCACTGCTGCTGGTGGTGTTATTGTTGCTGCTGCAGTTCATCTGTCTGGGGTTGCGGGTTTGTCCATTCTTAAGGTGTTCCTGCACCAGGCTAAGGAGGGTGTCATCTGGGGACCTGAGGTCGCAGCTGAGAGAGGGTTCCTGCTGCAGAGCGAGGTTCTGCTGCCGGTGTTCCTGGGCACAAGAAATGTTATCTATAAATCTATACAGAAAGCCCTCAGGGTCGAGCAGCTGGTGCTTCAGAGGGCTGCAGCGGGCCATGTAGCTAGGAATGGGCCCCAGGAGGCCAACCATCTTTGCAAGCAGCGAAGGCACAGAGTAGCAGCCAAGTAACATTTCGCCCGTCCACAGTTCGTACACAATACAACCCAAGCTCCATATGTCTATTTGCTGGCAATAAGGCAGCTCCAGCAACACCTCAGGAGCGCGGTAAGAACGAGACTGGGTATACACCACAAGCTCGTCGCTGGTGAAACAACAATTGCCGAAGTCAATAACCTTCACGCGAAACAAATCCAAACAATCCCAGTCAAAGAACGAACCACCTGACGGCATCATCCCTCCGTTGTTGATGTTGTTGCTGCTGCTGAGGGTACTACCGTTGCTACTGCTCATTGTGCTGCTGCTACCAGTGCTGCAGGTACTGCTGCTGCTGCTGCTATCGCCGGCATAATGAAGGTTGTCGCAAGGTGCTGTGCCGCAGTTCCCGTTGGTTTGCCTCCGTGCTGCTTCAAGTTTGTAATTGAGACGCTGCTGCTGTTGTTTTTGCTGGAGCTTTGCTGCCAAGGACGCAGAAAAGCATGCGAGAATGTTTTCGGGTTTAAGATCGCCGTGGATAATATGGAGGCTGTGAACGAACTGCAAGGCAAGGAGAACATCCTTAACTGCTCGCTGCAACCGGCCCAAGCTCCAGAAGGAAGGAAGCCGCTGCCGCTTCAAGGCGGTGCTAAACGTGTAGAGATCTTCATCAAGTAGTTCAGTCACCAACACCAAATGCCCCTCTACATACAGACAGTCTAATAAACGCAAAAAGCGGTGCTCATCGGGGTCGCCGTTGGCCAGCAGCAAACGCAGCACTGCTACCTCGTCCAAAGACTGATCGAAAAACTCCTTCGCGTTCTTCATCACCTGCAGCAGCAGCAACAACAATAATAACCAATCTAACAAACAAAACACAAAATAAAACTGCATGGTGATGCCGCTGGGGAATCGACGAGACTCAGCAGGTCCACCTGCAGCTGCTGCAGAAGGAACCACCAAGGCAACAGCCTAAACCACTGCAAAAGCAGCACTAGCACCAACAGAGACAGAAGCACGAACAACAACAAAAACACCAGTTCCAGCAGCTGACCTTTAAGCACACCCTTTGTCCCGTGCACTCATCGATGCCCTGAAGACAGCGGGAGAATGCCGCCGCACCGACCTGCAGCACGCCAACAATCTCGAAATTGAAATCATAAACCCTAAAGCCTAGCCCTGAGATGCACTCCTAAGTTCGAAACTTTAAACACCAGCATCTACGCCCGATACAAACGAATCCCCTCCTTGCATACATGTCTACGGAGGGATGATCAAGGCAGTCTGTTGCAGCAGTGCAGCCTGCTGCAGCAGCGGGAATAGGGAGGCTAGAAAGCCAAAAACTGCCGCTGCACGGTCAGCAGCAAACGCAATGGAGTAAGGGAAGGAAGAACAGCAACAGAAGCAGACGGAGCAGCCGTTGCAGCACGAGGAAGAGGAGGAAGGATAATAGCAAAAATGCCTACCTGCTGCTGCACTCTGTACCTGCCTGCTAGGAGGGTCCCAGATGGCAGCACCATTTCTTTGTGACCAGCACAACCTGTCTTGTTTCTCTTGAAGACGACCTTGAGACTGAAGCAATCATACATGGTCGGGTCGTCAGCAGGGTGGAACCCAGGGCTGCTGCTGCTGCTGCTGCTGCAGGAGCCCTTGACCCTGCACGCCCTCGGGTAGGCAGGGTCTGCCGAGGGCGGATAGGCAACATTGGCGTGTACTGCTGCAGCGCGCTGCTGCTGCTGCTGCCTGAAGCGCTGCTTATCCCCATCGCAGTACCTCTCCTCCCATGTCCGCGCTGCCAGGTACGCTTCTTGCTGCTGTTTCTCCAGTTCCTGCTGCCTTCGCTGCTGCTGCTGCTGCTGGCTAAGCATACGTGCCGCTGAATCCGCAGATCCTACCTGGTCCTGCATGCCGCAACCCGCAAGCTCATCTTCAGAAGACACTGCGGGGCATTCCTCCGACCCTGCTGCTCCTGTGCTTTGAGCTGCTGTTGCTGTTGTTGCTGCTGGTACAGTTGAGGCTGCTGCGTCTGCAGGCACTGGTGGTTGGGGGATCCCGCTCAGCTGTGTGTCTGTACAACCTTCAAACGACACAGATCGGCCGAAGTGAGAGGGAGTGTCTGGCTGCTGCCGATCTTGCTGCTGCTGCTTCCATACGTCCGCTCCTCTTGCTGATGATTCTAAAGGGGCCGCTGCAACTAAAGAGGAGGCCCCGAAGGCTGGAGAAGAGGGGCGAGTTGTAGCTCTGCTGCCTCTCCCTCCGTTGCTGTTGTTGCCACTGCTGTTATCTCCCACTCTAAAAAGAGTGCAGCTGCTAAACGCTGCAGCAGCACCCGCAGAAGCGGCATCAGCAGCACCAGTTGGTGCTGCTGATCCTCGCGTTGCCTGCTGCTGCTGCACCTCCTGCTGCTGCTGCTGCTGCTGCTGCAAGTGGTTGTGCTGCTGTGGCTTACGGCAGTCATCACAATCAGCAACAGCAGCTGCTGCTGCAGCAGCTGCTGCTGCAGCAGCCATTTCCATTCTGGCCCCCACGACGTCCACGGCGGGTTCAACGCCAAGCGCAAGCAGTGGGTGCATGCCTTCGCACTGTGGGGGACCCCATGGTGAGGAACTTTCTTGGGGAGCCCCCTGGGGGGGCTGTGGGGCCCCACAAAAGGCAGCAAGAAACTCTGCTTCTGTCATATCGATTGGAGTGTACCCTGGATCTGTTTCGTCAGTGTATGTATCGTTCTCGTCAAACTGAGGGATGTAAGCGCCATCCAGCCAGGCCTGATAGAGCTTGCTGCTGTCTGTTGCTGCTGTTGCACCTGTTGCAGGTGCTGCTGCTACGGCCGCCGCTGCTGCTGCAGCTGCTGTTGCTGCGCCCGACGGAGTGCAGCAGCGTGGGCCCCCTCTATACTTGGGAAGAAAGCGTGCAGAGCTGGGGGCCTCCACAAACCCACATAGTCTCACAGCATCGGCACTACGCAGCGAACCCCCCCCAACACAGAGAAGCCGAGGGGAAGCAACAGCAGCCTTTGCTGCTGCTGTTGCTTCATCGCGCAGCACGCGCAACGCCGCTTCAGCCCCTGCTGCAGCAGCAGCGGCAGCAGCACCCCCTGCAGCTGCTGTGGCTGCGGCTGCTGCTGCTGCTGCTCCCAAGTCAGTGGGCCGGCCTGAAGTACTGCCAGCAGCAGCAACCACAGGCGAGGCAGCAGCAGCCGAGGATGAGGTTGAAGGAACTGGACTAATGCAGCTATCGAGAAACTTACTGCTTGCGCAGGTAGCAGCAGAAGTGCCTCCAGCTGTAGCAGCAGCACACCCATCCTGCTGCATTGAATTGACCGTTTTCTGCGGGTCCTCACTGTTAAGGAGGGAGCGCAGGAGCCCTTTATGCTCAGCTGTAGCCAAGGGTCCCCTGGATTGCAGGAGCTCTTCAATGGTGGACCGCAGAGAAGGTGCTGCTGCTGCTGCCGAAGCGCCGCCGTCCCTGCTACTAGGGAAGTAGTTGCTGATTCTTAATTCGTTGCCCGCGCAGCAGCTGCTGCTGCTGTCGTGAGACTCAGCATGATCACATAGCACCTTCAAATCGAACAACAGGCCCCGCAGAGCAGGAACAAGCCGCTGCTGCTGCTGCTGCTGTTGCAACCTTTTGCTGCTGTCAGATTGGTCAGCGCAGCTCGCAGACGTTAGAAAAGCCACACCAGGCTGCTGCTGCTGCATGCGGTGCTGCTCCTCAATAAGCCGCAAAAAATCCCCAATGCGTCTGAGGGATGCAACTTCAATCGCGCTGCTGCTATCAGCAGCAAGTGCTGCTGCTGCTGCTGCTGTCGTTGGTACTGGTGTTGCTGCTACGGACGCAGTTGGTGCTGCATAGCGGGGTCTTGGAGAAGGAGAGTCTGAGCCCCTCATTTTCCCTCACGAGGCTTTCGTTTCTCCTGTTCTTCTTGGGTTGTGTTGCTGTCGTTCTCCCGTGTGCAGCTGCTGCTCCCTATCATGAAAAGAGGAGCTCCTTCTGCGTGGTGTATGGGTTGCATAGATCGTGTCACTGACGGCCTTGAACTGCAAGAGGCGCATCTCCCGCCTTTTGCTGCTGCTGCTGCTTCTTCTGTGGCCTCTATGGCCTCGGCGGTCGATGCGGTTATGGCCGCTATGGCTGTTCTCCCTGATGTTGATGCAGCTGCTACTCGTTGTATTCTGACGTAGTTGACACTGGTAGTCGAGATCAACAGGAGATGGAGTCGCCGCCTGCAGCTGCTGCCCTGGCCGCTGGTGGTTCTGCTGCCGCAACCACAGCACGCCTGCCTGATATTGCTGCTGTTGCTGGAGTTGTACTTGGGCCGCTGCCGGTGCAGTTCGTGTTTCTTCTGAGTAAACTAAGTAGTGTCACTTCGGAGAATGTACATATGAACAGCTCTACAAGAGCAGGCAGCGGAGCCGCTGGTGTCTGGTACCGTAGCAGCTCGCGCTGTTGCCGTTGTTGCTGAAGTTGCTGCGGCTGTTGTTGCTGTTGCTGCTATTGCTGCTGTTGCTGCAGCTTAAACTGGAACCAACGAGACAGAAATTGAGATATTTAATATACTGTTTGAGCTGCTGATTCTGTAGACAGTTTGTCAGGGGAGTTCACTGAGGCACTGCCGCCTCTAGCGTGGCGGTTGCATGCAAACCAACAACGGGAGCAACGGCAGCAACAACAACACACCGATGCTCGCATCCACAGACAAAAAGCTTGTTTTCACTGTGCGTCTTTTTTTGTTTGAGTTCGGGTGGTCCCTGTCTATCCGTTTCATTTTTTCCTAGCAGCAGCAACAGCGTCTCCTGCCAGCGTAACTGCTGCTGCCGTCGTTGCTGCTAGTGTCTTCACGGGGCAACTCGATCCTGCAGTCGACCTTCTTCGATTCTGACTAGACAGGGATCAACAGACCCAAATGGCGAGGCCGCCGGTCCAACCAACTTAAGGCTGCCAGCAGCAGCAACAACTGCTGCACCACCGACCGGAACAGCACCTGCACCTGCAACTGCACAAGCTACAGCAGCAGAACCGCAGGAACAAATACAGCGAGATCATCAGTTCTCTTGGAAACAGCTGCCGCTGTTGCAGTTCTTATGCTGCACAACACCGCTGAATATGCAGCCTTTCGGCGCAGTGCTGTGCGCCTGTGTGGTTGTCGATTGCTGCACCACCAGAAACAGGGTGCAACTGCAAGGGAGGCATCAGCAGCAGTTAATATAGCAGCATCCACGATAGCAGCAGCAGTAGGAACACCGACAGCAGCAGCAACGGTGTCTACCTGTTTTCCGCGTGCTGCAGCACAGCGTATCACATACGGGAGCAAATGGGCGCATAGAGGGCAGGGGCGCTTCATCTGCGGCTGTAGTCAATGCTGCCGCTGCAGCAGCTGCAGCAGCAGCAGGAGGGGCGGCAGCAACCAGATTTTCGAGGGATCAAAGAGGAACCTGAGCACGCTTTTTGATCGGGTATGGGTAGAGGCATGTTTTTGTTGTTACTCGTGCTGCTGCTGCAGTAAATAGTGCAGCAAGATCTGTTCTCAGTCTCTTTTATCTTGTTGCTGCTGCTTCTGTTGCTGCTGCAGGTGTCTCATGCGGATCTTCCAGCCATCCAAGCCGATGACTTTATGGCCGATACGGGAACCCTGCAACACATGCAGCAGTGAGCAGCAGCTGCCTGTTCCACTTGATGCTTCAAAAGCATAGTTGTTTACTGTCTTTTGCTGCTAACGCAGCATTCTGTTTGGAATGGAACAGAATGCTTTAACAATGTAAAGCTGATACTGGTGTTGCTGCTGCTGCTTCTGCTGGTGCTGCAGGGCCCTCTGCAGCCAAATCATCGAAGCCTGCGAGTACTATGGCATATGCGTGCAACGGGCGAAGCAGCAGAAGCAGCCGCAACGGGAGCAACGGCAGCTGCATACTTTAGGACTTCGCGTTGGTTTGCTGCTGCCTCCGTCCCCTGTGTCACTTGCTGCATTTGGTGCTGTTGCTGCAATAGGTGGCATCGCGGCGCCCCTGCCGTTTTGCGATGCTGCTGTTGCTGCAGAGACTGCGCCAGCAGCAATCGCTGCTGCAGGAGGTGTCGCAGCAGCAAGCGCAGCAGCAGCGAGACCCCTGGCAGCAGCAGTGGAAGAAGCAGGAGGCGATATGTTTGTTACAAGAACACATGCCTGCAATAGAAGCGTTATTACCAGGAGCAAATCTTTGCGACTGCTGCAGCAGCAGCTAGCGGAGGCCAAGGCGCAGCTGCTGCTGACACATCCAGCGCTAGCTGCTGCGGCGGCCGCTCTGTGTGATCAGTTGGGGATCCATGTTTGCATATGCGGCGCCAGAACTCCAGTGGCAACCGATATATGCATTGACCAGCAGCCGGAGAACCAGCAGCCGGCCGCAGCGGCCACATCAAGGGTACGTCTGTTTGTGAGACAGGAACCCCTGTACACAAGTAGTCTTGCAATATACACCAAATGGATGCCTCTACGGACAGCCGAGGGGGGGCCATTGGGGCCTCCGCAAGAGCTCAAAGAGGCACTTGCTGCTCGTCTGAGAAGCGGGAAGGACAGTGCAGAGGGTAGCGTCACCAGCAACAGCTGCAACAGTAGCAGCAAGACCAGCAGCAATAGCCTGATGACTAGCGCTACATGGAGTTTCTTGCTGGAGGCGAGCTGCTGCTGGGGGCAGCCACGCAGTGTGTTCCTGCCGGCAGCAGCAGTGAAGCAGCAGCTGCAGCTCAACAAGGAACACTTGCTGCATCACGTTTACCCAAGGCACAATGCCGTTGTAGCTGCTTCTGCAGCTGGTCTTGCAAAGCCGAAGCTTCTGCTTGCAGTGGTTCTGCCGCTAGTGCAGCAGCAAGCCAATATTATGTTGCTGACCAGGCAGCAAAGACCACCTCTACCCCTGCCGTTGCAGGTAACCCTGCAGCAGCAGCCTACCGATGCTGCAACAGAGGCACTTGTTCTTGAGACAGCGCACGCGCGAGCTGCAGCGGTTTGGCGCCTGCTGTTACACCAGAAGCAGCAGCAACAGCGATACACGCTGGTTGTGGACCTTGAAACGGCTGAGGCAATGTTGGCTCACTACGACCATGCAGTGGAAACAGCTGCAGCAACAGCAACACCAAGCAATGCTTCGAAGCCAGCTCTGGAGGCTCCACTTGCTCCTGCAACTGACCTTGCTGCGGCAGCGCAACAGGCGATTTGCTGCTGCCTTATCTGCACTGACGAAAGTGACCTCATGGCTATGCCAAGCCAGGCGCCTTCTAACCCTAACTACAGCACCAGCACCAGCAGGTCGCATGCTGCTGCAATGGAACAGAAGCCTGCAGTGCGAGTTGCTGCGACGGTCGAGGGGTAGGTTTTTCTTGGAGTACGAGTTGGGAGCAGTGGGAGCACCGACAGAAGTGCGTAGTTGGTGAGTTTTCCATTGTTTCGGCTTGCGTGTTGCTGCTGCAGGTGGCAGCGGCTGCTACCGGCGGTTGCAACAGTGCAGCACGTGCTTACCATTACGGAAGTGGGCGTAGTGGCAGTGCAGCAGCAGTGCGGCAGTGCTGGAGAAGGAACGGTTCCTCTTACAAAGCAGCGAGCAGCAACTGCAGCTGGAAGTGGACAGGAGGATGGCGTACCTTTAGGCCACTTGTTTCCTGGTGTCGCTGCAGTGGCGGCAGATGATGGTACGTTGCTCTTCAGCAACAGCACCAATAGCATTTATTTCGAGAGACCCGTTGCAACGGCGAAGGCATTTGGGGCTCCTGAGTCCCTGGGTGCCCCAGGGAGCCCCCCGGGAAGGTATTTTCGGTCGGCCCTTTTGGGCGGGGTAGACGGTCGTGGGGAGCTACGAGTGTTGGGGTGTAAGTACACCTCAGAGCGACTTCTGCAGAGGCCCCTGCAGCAGCGGCTGCAGCAATGGCAGTGGGGCCTGCCTCGCATGGAGAGATTGATTGAAGGTTATGTGCACAAGGTGCCGATTGCAGGCAAGGAGTGGGGCAACTACCACGCCAAGAAGCGTTACTGGAAGCGCATGTTCTGATTAAGTAACACCGCCCAAGCCGCTGCAGCAGCGGCTGTACGTAGGGCTCTGCTACTGAACCTAGACAATCGTTTTAGGATTATGTTGATTTGTGTCCACCGCAAAAGCGCACTAGTGGCAACAGCATGACCAAACAGGTGCAGCAAACACCCTCAACAACAGCTCCGCCAGGCTGCACCCTAGAACCCACGGAGGCCTACTTCTATTGAGCTTTCCCTAGCATGCTAGCTGGCTATAATGGCAGCTAGCTAGCCTCCCAGTTAGCTAGCCAATGTACTACGGTGCTGGCATAGCAGCCTGTTGACTGGGTTGCGACGCAGCTAGCCAGTTAGCTAACTGGGACGACGCTTGCGGACGCCCCATGCAGGCGTCCAACCGTATATTTTGAAGGAGGCTTAACCATGCCTAGGGGCTGAGAGGATAGGAAAGGATAGATATGCTTGTTTTTTCCATCTCTCGTTTTGTTTCCTGCCTTCGAGAATCTGCCCTATCGCCGCCTCTTCTTGAATGGTTTGTGTTTCTTTCCATGTCTGTGCTTGCCTTGCATGGGTCTCCGTCTGCGCAGCTATCCATATGCCTGTGTAGGGACCTGCCGGTGTCTGCTGCTGGGTATTGAAATCCTCTGCGCTTCCACTCATACGAAATTGCAATTTTTGACGGTAGCACCCGAAGAGGGCCTATGTTCCTCCGTGGCCCTCTTCAGGTGCCACCGTCAAAAACTGCATCTCCTCACTCCAGCACAAACAGTTGCTTTCTGTGCATCCTTTTCTGTGCCGTCACAGTTCGATTTTGTCTACTATATCTTAAGTGATATGGGCGTACGATGAGAACCTTCTTTGCTAACTGTAGTTCTGCCCTGTTAGGTCTTGTTGTCGGCTCCTTTTAGCTGTGCACAGTGCTGTCTGACTTTTGGTGTACGTCGATCTTCTCGTACTGATATATTTCGCACTTGGATTAGTGCCTAGGCCTACTCCTATTTTCTTTGCCCCTTACGTATATATAATATATTAATAATATATATGTATTGTATACATATTGGTTGCTCTAAATGGCACTTCCGTCCCCACCCCTCCCCCGGTGATTTTCAGCACCGTTTCTATCCGCTGCTACTGCTATTGTCCATCGTTATGCGCATATTAAAAATTATAGTTTATGTATAGGCGTCCAGGTTCAGCTTTGCGCTTCGCCGATGCTAATCTGGAGAAAAGCCGCTGTTTTGCTGCTTGTCCTCAGGGCTCAGTTTTGGAGCCGGAGGGTCTCGGTGCGAACGGGTTCAAATCCAAGCTTGGTGTAGATGTGCCGTGCGTTTTCTTTCTCGACAGTGAGGTCTATTCTCCCTAATCCGAGTTGTTCTTTGGCGAACTGTAGTACCGCCTTGCACATCGCCGTCCCTATGCCCTGACCCCGGTATTCAGGATCAACTATGACCCTCTCCAGCCGCCCGTCTGCTGCGCGACCCAAGTGCGGCATTACGTAAACTTCGCAAAACCCACAGAGCCGCCCCTCAGCCACTCCCTTTAGCGCACACCCGTTTGCCCCGTTTGTAGCAGCAGACCCTTCGGCTGCAGGACCATCCGTAGCACCAGCTGCAACGAAGCAGCAGAAGGGCACGTACGTCGGCAACCGAAGTACCTCCGATAGTTGCGGCTCCTGCAGCTGCTCCTGGCAACGGCTCACCAGCGGCAGCAGCGCGCGAACATCTGGATAGTCTGCTGCTTTCATCCTTCGGACAATGAAACTTTTGCTGCCCAGCGAAAAACATAGGGGATGCTCGTCTGCAGGTACACTGTCGAGCCAAGGGCACACAACGGATCGTGGTCCTGGGCACGCCATTCTTCGGCAAACCTGTGTTTCTTCTGCACCAGTTGCTGCGTGTATATTCCTGCCGTCGTCAGTGCCCTTGCAGCTGGAGACGCGATGTCTGCTTTGGAGTCACCTGCTGCTGCTAGACCTGTTCCTCTCGCTTGAAACCAGCAACTGGTGCTGCTGTCTACGTGTAATGATGTTGCCGCTGCGTGCATGTGTAGTTATCCTTCTGTTGTGTGGGGTGTGGAGAAGGTTCGCGCCGATTGTCCCTACATTTGAGGAGCTGGGTTAAATGGCTGGATATTGAGCATTCCGTGTTAGTTTATGGCCTTGTAGCTGCAAACGTACACAAGGGAGAGGGAACAACAGCCAAAAACACTGCAAGGGGGTCGTCTCGCCTCCGAGGACCCCTTGTCTGCTGCCCGCATGTGACGGTAGGCAGCAGTCTCGGGGAAAACGGGCAAAATCAAAAGGTTTTGTGAAATGAATTAATTCTAATAAAAGGAATCTAGCTTCAAGAGGATACGGGTGGGCAGGTATTGCTGACAACGTCACTGGCGGCTAGCCGGGCGCGTCAGGCATGCACAACGCTACAACCCCGAGGTGACGCCACAAAAAGTAAGAACGATACAACAAAGACAAACAACCAATGACTTAAACCTTAATTTCCGACATTGCGACTATTTTTGTCTCCGTCGTTGCGCTTGTTTCCCCCCCTCACTAATAAACGGCTGCGTAGAACCAGGGTTGCCCACTGAACTCTCTGCTTGCTCCCAACGAATCAGCATGCGCATAGAGCAGAGGATATCCACTTAATTAAGGCTATTTTCCCCTGTGTATACGTGTACAAGAAAAACGTGTTTTCTGTATGCAAATACATTTATCAATGGTACGGGGCCGATGCCTTCCTACACGAATGTCAATTGTAACCCAGTCAGCCTAGAGGTGAACGGCGACTCTGAAGGCTAGTATAGGCGGCCTGCATACAAGCAGATACCTTCAACAGTTGCATGCGATCATAGAGCACTCAGTTGCATGTGCTTGCACGCGGCGCTGTCCTGTGCCATCGGCTGTACCAAGGTGGGTTGCAACACTTGCCAGAGCGTTTCCTCATTCACAGTTTCGGGAGCTTGAGACCGCTGCTTCCAGGGTGCATTGTCTCTTCTGATTTAGTTCAGAAACAATTAACCAACACTTCCTTGAAGCATTTTGGATTCACAGCAGCTCGCAACGGTCCCTCGATAAGATGGAAGCCTCTCGCTACAGTAGTGTTGTAGCTAGGACTGCAGGAGATAACTATACGCACTCATGGATTTGCATATATGCAAATGAAGGATGCTAAACGGTTTCTCCGTACCCATTTCCTCCTAATCTTCAACGTTCTGTGCAGCAGTGGTTTGTGCTTTGGTCGGTTTTTGTGTGCGCCTGCATCCAGGGATGCCTCGCGTACAGTGCTCTGTCTTAGCATTGCCTGCCCAACCTGAGAACTGTCTGCCTAGGTATAACTAGTATATTTTTGCTTCACTGTGAGCTCGATACGGATTCGTACGCATGCCTCCTTGCGGGGTTGCCTTGAAGCAACGACGCAGCAACAGGCGCCCTATCACACCCTCTCCTCTCCAACTCAAAGCCCTTTTCCCACCTGCAGAGGATTCTTTGGAACTTTAGAAGACCACAGCCACTTTGGAGGGAACTCGTTTTTTAGCAAGGAGCCCTCTACTAATATTAGTGATGCTGCTAAGACATACTAGAACCCACTGTTTATCAGGGCCAGTTCGTGCAAATAGTTCCATCTCCGTAATTGGCATGCCTTATGCGCAGTAGTTTGTAATGCTATGCCCCAGCATAGGGAGGCGCGAGGGTGCGTTGCGAAGAAACATAGGAAACAAATGCTGACGACAGGCAAGACTATACCTACACAATCAAAATAAATTACGCTCCACAGTAAATTACGCATCTGCGTCTTTTGGCCACTTAACGTGCCTCCAGAATAGTGGCTGACTTGCAAACAATTTCTAACCATGATCGACAGGCGGTGAAAGGTTGCCATTGAGAAAATACGCGAAGATACAGCGGCAACGGGCACACCAATTTGCACCAAACTCAGCGGATGCTTCAACTGTTAATTACAAAGCACGGGCTGTACGCCAAAGGAGTGTAAAGAAACAAGTGGGTGCTTCAAACCTGGACGACGAGGGCATCGATCCCCCTGCCTCTCGCATGCTAAGCGAGCGCTCTACCACTTGAGCTAGACGCCCTGTCGAGTCACCTAAGCCCCAACACAAAAATTTCCCAATATGCGATCGACTTGGCCGACAACCTTACTTCCTGTAGTCTTTTAACCGGAAGAATACTGAGTTTGAATACCACTTTCAAATGAAACGTACACTCCACCTTTCTAGAATGTGTTGTTTGGTGCAGCACCTGGTGGTGTAGTAAGTGCCTGAATTCCCACCCAGTTTCCGTTTCAGGTGGGCCTTGGCCGTAGCTGTTTACCTGTGTATATAGGTTATATGTTTGTGGTCGTTGTGTTCAGGTTTGTGAATTACGTTATATGTTTGTGGCCGATTTGTCCAGGTTCGTTAGTGCTTGTATGCGGATTAGAAAAACCGTGAAGAAATAGGTACTTCGTTATGGGCACAGTCAGAACAGTATGAAAACACCAGCAGCAATGAAAACCCCACTGTTCGCAAGTCTATTCGAGTTAATCTTCCAGTACCTGAAAGTAGCCACAAACGAATTCTTGTGCTAGTACATCATATGAGCATGTGATAGGTAGAAGGATCGACACCCTCTCCGTCCACAGTGGACGAAGAGGGTTTCGATCCTTCTACCTATCACATGCTAAGGGAGCGCTCTACCATTTGAGCTAGAAGCCCTCATGGGAGGCCCAGGTCCCATATATTACTACGGTAACATGCGATCACAATGCACCCAAGACCTGCCAGTACACACACAGGTAAATCATTCCTTCAGCGGAAAATGTTTGTACCTTCTTCAGTAGAAGAAGAGTGCATGAGAGCATACGTCAGAGCGAAATGAATCAGAACCCTTTGGCGAGGATTCCCGCCTGTCTTCCCCCGGTTGTTCTGGTAGACCTGTGAACAGCATTCCATAGTGTCTTTTGCAGCAAATGCTGTATTTGTAGCTCCATCAGCCAAATAATGGCATCGAAAAGCATGTGCTCGGCCAAAGTCGAGCAACAGTAGCAAGTAGCGATACCCGTGGTCTGCCTGCGTGAGCTTCAAGCCCGATATGCTTCTAAGGCACTCGCGCTCTAGTTGGTGATTCCTCTCAGCTTCGAAATAAGTATACATAAACCAGGCGGCGAAACAGGTCGGTAACCAACACCTTGTTCAGCAATGAAAATCAAGCTCTCCTCAGCGTATGGAGAAGAGTTTGGTGTTTGCACAGCAGACGGCTGCATGTGTCCGATTGCTTGTGGGGGCTTGAACAGTTGTCTCAAGATCAACGAAACGAGAAGACGAATAATAGGGGGAGGTGTCGAGTGGATCTATAGTGCAGAGGAAAGAGATGTTTGCTCAGTTTCACGGGCTGGCTTTGATATGGCACTCAATGTTGAGTACAGCAGATATACGTTGCGAAGCTGGACAAAAATGGCATTTGTAACTCTATGATATTTAGGAAGTCTTACAATATTTGTACACATATGATATCAATTCACACTCATGAGACCACTCCCCCCTTGGATATGTGTAAGTTACTGCAATGGCAGCTTTCGTGGTAATCACTGTCTTGGTGCCTGCCCAATGGTCTACGCCGGACCAAAAAGGTCCAACTTCGAATTGCTTCTAAGCCTCTTTAAGAGCCTTTTACAGACGAAGTGGGATCTAGCTTCAAAGCACGCATGTGACCCGTTGCGGGAGTAGCCCCTGGATGGCAGTTTGGCTAGGAGGTCGGGCGTTCCAGCCGCTGCGCTGCGTGAGGAACGCTAAGTTTGCTCTCTGCACTAGAGCATTATGATAACGTGGCTTTTTTCTCATGCAAATTACCATGACGACACCGTCCGAATACATTGACCAACTGTGGAGGGAGGCAGTGGATCGTGGTGTCCAGCCGCCAGAATGGTCCCCCCAGTACAAGTGGAAGGATTTGATTCCAAACTTCTGTATATTTCTTCCCCAAAATCCAGCAGATCTGTCAGTGGAGAATAGGCGGAAGTTATGTTCTGAACCAACCAAATTGTCGTACTTTGCCTTCCTGGATTTCGAAAGCAGCCAGGTGGGATACTGTCCGTGTCGTCAAGAAATACTCCAGACGAAAATGCATTTCTTCGGTAAGATGCCTCAGATAACACCAAACATTATTGTCTCTTAACCGTCTGACCCTGGAATGAAGCCTGTAGTACCTTCGCTGTAGACAACTCGCTGTAGAACCAGTTGTTTGAGACGCACGAGCCAATTTAGACCCGAGCAACAGCATTTTGAAACGGGCAAGTCCAGGTCCAAGCCATTCCCAAACAGCTTCACTATCCTTTGATGTGGCGCGTATGGAGAGCATGATCGCTAGAAGATGCATATTGTAAATCCTGACACTTAAACTCACTCGCCCATCTGCAACGGTTACCAGCCTTGAAGTTCCGATCATAATCCCTTGTGTACCTTTGGCGTTTCTGCGGACTGATTTCTTGCGCTGTTCACCCCTCCTATTGGCGAGGGCTTCCAGTGGAAAGTTGTCCATACCAGGCCCTTGCCTCCTGTTTGTTGCCGGTTCGTGTTGCTTCAGAAGATGTCGACGAGAACCCCTTTAAGATTGTCAAGGAGGGGATATTTGTCGAACGTTTAGAGGATTTGAAAACAATGATCGCGAAGATCACGAACGACAGTGAGCTGTTTTGATGCTGTTGTTTTCTGGTTGCTTGATGTCTGCTTGTCTGCCTCTCGGCGTTTTTGCCTCGTTGCGTAGTTATCCTTGTTTGTCACTTTTTGTTTTATATTATTCACGGTTCTTTTTGCTTGTCCTTGAGGCTCCTCTTCCTAGCTGGGATCGCCTATAGTGTTTTGTGTTTTTGCGAATGCGCTGTAGTCGTCTGCATTTTCTGCTTATTCTTGTTGCTTGCTCCTCATGTGTTTCCTTGTGTACGAATGCGTGGAGCTGCATCTCAATACCCACTCTTCCGCCTGGGTCTCGCAGACATCCCTGTGCTTGCGCAGTGCATGCGCTTTTGACCTTTGGCACCTGATGCTTGGAGTGTCTTTACACAAATGTGAAACTGCGTTAATCAGCCGAACGTTTACATAGAGATTGGTGTACAGGTATTTGACTGTGTACACTTACACCTGTAGATGTGCGCATCTCCAAAGACACCTGTCAAACCACTCATGCTCTATAAGGGCTTAGGGTTGAAGGAAAGGGTCCAAGGTGGGGATTTTGGGCTTTGTGTGCGGACTATTTCTTGAGAGCAATGCAGCGTCGTCGGTATTGACATGGAACATCACCACCGTAGAAGCTACCGGGGTGTTACATGCCTCATTCAGCTGGGCACAGCTGAATATGTATATGTAATTGATGCTTTGAAGCTGTTTGATCATCTGCACATTCTGAACGCTATAACTGCAAACCCCACCATTGTCAAAGTTTTTCACAACGGCGACAACGACATCGCCTGGCTGCAGGTAACCAATACACAGTAGCACGCACGCTCGTACTGCGTGCAATTATGGTTGCTCCGTCTTATTTTGAGATTTCCAAGCTTCGTCGAATGATTGCTGAAGGGAAGGAGTTAACTTGATTGCCGTGGGTTTTGGTTCAGAATTTGGTGCCGTCGGTAACAATCACTTGCCTTTGGAAGTATTTGCCCCATTTGTAGTTTATGCTATATATTGTAGTCCTCACGGGGAATATTATTGTAAGAGACACAAACAGTGACTACAAATACGTTAACGTGAACGAGCAGCTGAATGCGATGAAACGTGTTTCAGGGGCAGGTTCTACTATGGATACGACGTTATTTTCCCCACACGGCTACGTGTACTGCTGTGGCAGGCTGAACACTCGATTCAACGCGTTGTTGAGACATTTAGTCAAGATGTGTTCTAAATTGCATAGATGTCCCATTACTGTTGCAGACAGAGTACTCGTGGGGGAATTGGTGGCTTCATATTGGGGATATTGCATGCAACAGCAAGAATGTGTTGGGGAGGATACCATTCATACGGCTCAAATGGAGACAGCAGAACCAGCGGTTGGCAGCTATAATTGCATGTATGCCCATGCATCGGTGACAAATACACACATGTTGTGCGCATTTTGTCGACAATGGCGAGCACGTAGACGCTTGCCATATCTCCTTCAAAATAGGTGCAACAATAACTGAAAAACCAAATGTGGAAGTTCAGTACGTGCACTGCATTTGTTCGGCTCCCACAGCTGCGCCGGTGTGTAGGATCATGCCAACTGGAGCCATTCCAGATGCGTGCACATATCGTGTCTGCATACCGCAGCGAGACTTCAACGTCTTCGTTGTCAACGCTTTTGACACCGGAAAGGCCGCCAAGTATCTGGGCGTCCCGGGAGGCACCTCCCTGAGGAATATTCTTCAACGGGAATTCAAAGTAATAAAAAACGAGAGGATGAGCACATGTGACTGGTCCCGCAGGTAAACTAGTCGGTTTTGCACTCTAGGTTTCAAGGGGGTTAGGCATTTTTCAACATCACTCAAATAGTTAAGGCCTTCGGGTACACAGGATCTTGAAGGGACGCAGTTTGTTTCTGTGGTGTCTAAGAGAAGCTGTAGGGCGGCAGACTGTTTGAGCATACGATTGAGAATCTTGAGTTTGGAATTTGCTGCCTGAGATGGGCATGAGGCAATATGCTCGGTTGCGGGCATTAGGGGAGCTAAGGCTGTCTGCTACCAGCGGATTGCTCTCTTAATTTAGGGCTTTAACATGCTGAATTGAGGATTCATGTTCTGTGCTTAGTGGGCTGATTCAACGGTTTGCCCACAGGCCCTTAACATGGGACATGCGGAAGTACGCGGTAAAGGACGTTGGTTACTTGCTGTGTCTGTATTACCGCTACGCCCGTAAACTCTCAGAGTGAGTACGGACTGTACAGACACCTCGGATCTGCTGGCGGATGCGGATGACGAAGGGGGCTCTTGCATCAGTGTAACAGTCACGACACTCCAGTGCAAGCCCCAGTCTGCTACTGCTCTGTTTCCTTTGTGCGCTCTTCTCCCCGTCAGTTTGCGTGCTTCTCTGCTCTGTCCGCGGACCGCCCTATTCGCCAGGTTGCTCCTATTGTTCGTGTCTTCGTCTATCTGTGGGTCTCCTCAGTTTGTGCTCTTTGGTGTGAGCGTGCATGCCTCCATCTGTGGGTGTGGCGGCTTTCCCACTTCTCGTGTACTTTTTCTGCATTTTCTGCTTGTCGTTTTCCATTGGTGTATCTGTGAACCTGTTGCGGCGTCCTTCTTGTGTGCTTAATTGGCCAGTTGTTCACTGCACCCACAATTTTCTCCGGGTGTTTGTCTCAACATATGCAAGCGCGTCCGTTTTGTCGTACCTTCGTATCTGTATATCTCGCCTGCTGTGCCTCATGGGTTTCCCCTGCGTGTGTTCGTACTCATGTTTTTTCGTAGCTGACTTCATGCCTAGTCTTGCTTGGGTTGTTCCGCAGGAACGAAGTACATCAACAACCTTCCCATTGATTCGCCATACACGTAATGGGGATGTTTTTAGGCGTTCCCCACTTTCCTCACTTGAGCGTCTCTGTATCACGGGCTGTTGTGTACATTTTGCTTATTATTTGCTCTGCTATTCTGTCGCTTTTCTCATTTGTTTGGGCGTGCTGTTACCTCTTCATGGATTTGACGTTGCATCGATTTCAGCGGCAGACGACATTCTTTGGGGCTGCTGCTTCACTTTAACGCCCCACTGTCTCCTGGCCCTCCAGTTTATTTCCGTTATTGTGCCTCATCCTGGTCGGCCTGCGCTTCTGTGCGTATGTAGCTGTTAGCGTTCTCCATGTCTCCTTGCTGAGAAGGATAAAGTGACCCGCCATGCACTACCGATTCACTTATATGTCGTAGATATGGAATAATGCATGTTCAGCGTAATTAAATTCCATAGGTTGCAACAGAATGACATAAAAGCTAGCCTAAAGGCAATACATACCTCAGTCGATGTGGTGGTTTGAACGTGTTTGGCGTCTGCAGACAGGCTCGAAGAAGCTAGAGGAAGACGTGAAACAGATGTTGGTCAAGCCATTTGTGTTTACTCATTATAATCTAGAGAGAGACTTTAAGAACTGCTCCAGAGGAATGCCCTGGAGTGAAGACGACGTTCGACCGATTCTTTTGGTAAACGCGTGCACGGGCAGCACGCGAATGCACTGAGCTGTATAGAACAGTTATCGTGTATCCCGGATTAGCAGGCATGATGCTTAAAAGTCAGTTTGAACTCAAACGAAGCATGCGCCCTGCTGTGGCTGGCACCGATAGAACGTAGCAGGCAGAAATGCAGATACACGGAGGCAAATACGGGTGCAGGTAGATGCGTATGCGTGTGTAGAGATACAGCCGGGCTTATTCTGGAGAGGTAGGCTGACGTATGTAGGGACCCGTAGAGGAGTGCAATACTGCATACCGAGAGTTATCACACACTCATGCGCACAGACTATCAAAGGCAGATGGGACCGAATGGGCATACAGCTAGGAACTTGCGAAAAACGCGACACCAGCAGAAAAGAAGGAATGAACAGTTACAGTTTGAAAGGCAGGAACCCCATAGTCACGTGTAGTGGAATCGTCGTTGTCGCGTGTCCTGTGACTGCACATTTCACATACAACGTTCCACTAACCGAAGACGTTTCTGAATCGTATAGCCAGAGCCTAATGCTGAGCGCTTAAGGATTGGGGTTTAAGTCGCGATCATAATGCCGACACCCTTACCCCTTAGCCCCTGCACAGGACAGCTGCACCACAGTAAGAGAGCAAATATGTGTAACTAGCTATCAATTTCCTCTTCTAGACAGTGGCGAGAGGAGCAAGCTTTGGAATTGTACATAGAGTAAATGAACGAGTAGGAGGACTGCGCTGCTAGTCAGAGAACACTATTGAAGGAATACAATTACTTGTAGTATGCTACGGAGGTACAGCACATATCTGTATGTGTATTCCTTTCTGCTGCTGCAGCGACACGTATTGGCATGGAGGGATATTCGAAGTCGGTCTGTGGACTATTCGCGTGGGTATTTTCTACCAATCGAGTGTCTAGGATCTTTTGTCGATGAGGTCAGCTGTTGTGTAAGAACAACCGGGACTGATACGCAGCTAACTAATGCGAACGATACGATAGAGTCATTCGCTCAGGCATCAGCGACAGATCCCTGTGTATAGCAGTGCCGTATTCCGTAAAGTGGGTTGTGCGTGAAGTCATGTATGACGTTCTAGAAGAGGCAGCGCCAACAGAGGCGCATTCCAGTGCCTGTAGGGGGGGACTCGGCCCCGTGATATTCGTGTATTAACAGCAGCATTGTATAAACAGGCGCGGCAAAGCCCGCATTCACGCAGAACCCACGACAGGTTGACACAGTTTGAAGCTCCTAAACCCAGCAAAAAGTGTACGAGGGCACATCCCCTGTAGTGCCTTCTTTGTGGTCTTAGGCTTGCCGGTTCCGGTCAGGGTTACCTATCGCATGTCAGCTGAACAGAATGCTAGGTCAGCAGCGCATTAGAGACTTCTCTACGGAGCTCGACATGATCGTGAAGAAGACCCTAGCTGAACATGAGGAACACGGCACAGGACTGAGGCACGAAGCCGCAACTTTAATCGGAGCGTCTGGCATGTAGAGGCTGAGAATTTCAAGAGCAGCAAGACAGCTGTAGCGCATCCCCGCACTGGGGATGTTCGGCATTGTATCTATCCTCCCAGATTTTTCTGGGTGCAGTTTGAGGGAGTTGTTTTCAATTGGTTTGTTCATGGCAGTCGCATTTGTGTTTGGACAACCAAAAGCTGCTTGTATATCTGCGACGCTCCAGAGGGGCAAAGCTCCTACTCGGGGGATGGCTTCTCGTTGTGCCGATGCCGCAGTAAAAGAGGAAGGTAGACATCCACAAGGATCTTCTTGATGAATCTGCTTCAGTTTGGATTTACACGATGACAGTGCAGCGTCTGTCAGTTTGCGTGCCACTTCACTTCATTGTTTATCTGTGTTTTGGCGTGGTCTCGTCTGTTTTTGCACTTATTCTCTTCGTTGCCTAGGGCTTGGTCTAACGCTGAACGGGCGTTGCCCCTTGACAGCGTGTATTAAATTGCGTAAGTCAGGGGACTTTCTCGCCTGACGAGTTGAACAGACCTAACGCAAACGAAGGCCGCACGAAGTCTTATTGTATTTGCAGCCCTTCAATTTTTTTTTCTGTTATGCACAAGATATTTTTAACATATCAGACCTCTTTTCTACCTGTGCAAAGGCCCAAATATATATGTAGATTGTGAAACAACACAGGGTGCAGCTAGCCTTCAGGCATGTGTCAAGCACTACCATCAGCCGGTTCTTTGATAAGTCTAGGCCGGCGTCTGGAAAGCGAAGGATGGGTGTGCAGCTGTGAACAGCTGGTATGGAGCAGTGGAGCAACCAGGTAATGCAAGCACTGGGCTTCTTCGGCTGCAAACATGTGCGGTTTGTAGGTACGGGGACCAGTGACTACAGAGAAGACTTCAATGTCTTCAGTGAACACCCAGATATACTTTTCTGGTTCAATTCGGACGAATGTTTGTAAAGGTTAAATGTAAATGGGCATGACTACCGGGTCTCTCTGGGTATTCCTACCAATCAAAGGGGAGGTTGCATATCCGGCAAACACTTCTCAGTGGTGAACAGGAAGGGTGTAGATGGTTGATCCAACCACACCGAAGTTCAAGGGCAAGAGCGCCTCGGCAGCTCTGCTGCTGATTCGACAATATCTTAGACTATTCGACTACGAATTTATCAACATTTCGTTCGCTGGGAAACCACACAGGCATATACCTGGGGATTACGCGAGGGGCGTCTTGGGCACAATATTCTTTTGCCTCTTGGCCGCGTACCTCTGAGACAGGGACGAAAACATGTGGACGATGTTCGTCCACATACAACACCAACTATTCGTTTAAACACACGTTTATGGACTGGTCCCAACCGGTCTCGAACCGGCGACCTTTCGGTTATTAGCCGAATGCTCTAACCAACTGAGCTATAGGACCTGGTCGCCTTCCTTTCGGCAAATCAGTCACCCAGAGCAGATTCCAGCAATAGGCCAACTAGCGTCTTCATCAGTCAACATACATTTGGTTTTGTGAGAGACGACATCCAGGAAAGTTCCGCATCCGTGGAGAACGAAATGCGTGTTACGAATCTGAATTCAGAACCGGTGCGTACAGCTGCTCAATACACAGACCTCATAAAGACATGTAATCTGTGCTTACACTTCACTGGCCCCGCATGACTTCATTATTTTATCACAGGGAAATGTGGGGCAACCTGCTTGTTGTCGCTGAGCTACGGAGACCCCATGCAACTGCTATTCTGGTTATTGTGCTTTGCTGCCTTCCACGTCCTTGGGTGGCTGTGAATGGCCCCTTATCACAAGGGTCCACATCAGCCATCCCTTATACGGCGAGCCTTGTGGCACTCCCCTGCAGTAGATGCTGCGTAGTTGCGGCATTTGCTTGCCTGCCTCGCTAGGCCTCCCTTATGCTCTACTCCAAACAGCCAAGGCCCCAAATTATATATGCTGAGCCGTCTGCAAGCTAACCGCTGAGCTGTAGCATAACACACTATTGGCGTTGCTGCTGCGGACCTAGCAAGGCTTAACTGCGCCTCTCGAGCAACAAGAAAATGCGACTTTCTAGGAATTTATGTCTCATTGTTCGGCCATTCAAAAGTTAGTAGGATAAGAGAAAGGGACGGCAGCTTACATCCATGGGAAGATAGCCAGGACGCAGCAAACACGGAACATTAGAAAAGAGCAGGCTGAAGGTAAAAGAGCCGATAAACACGTTATCTGCATACAACAACAGTGAAGGCCTCAGCGTACGCACATTGTTCCACACGGATCCACTCGTGGTCTGCCATGGAGGCGGATTGTCTATTACGTCGATAGTATCGTTTTAACGCTGTACATGTACTGCCACAAATGCCTCCAAAAACTACCATATTGTGCATAGGAGTCCTCGTGAATGCGTGGGTACATTGTGTGTACGTATATCGACGCCACGTGTATCCCCACTGTAGTGAGGGAATCAAAAAATTACAGGCAAATAAAACGGCCAGCAGCAGCAGCAGCTCTTGCAGCAAATTTGGGATAGCGTTCCTTTGCCCAGGCAAATCTGTCATATTGTGTGTGGTGTTTAGCCCCGATAGTAATTAATTGAGAATTCTGCTTTCGCGTGTATTTATTGTTATTGTGTACTCTTTCTAACAATCTATTCCCGCATATTTTTGTTTATTCCAGCATTAAGACTGAGAAAACATCCTTCTCTGCCACATGCATGGTTATGCATTTTATTCAGCATTCTTACTAGTAATATATTTCCGTGAACTGTTTATTATTGTGCTGTTTTGTCGTTCTTCCGAGGTCAATCCCCTTAGTATTTAACGATTACTACTTTAGTGTTTGTGTAGTCGTCAAGACAGAGAACAGATCCTTCTCTGCCGAACCCTGAGGATTTGCATCCACCAAAGGGAATTTCACAAGAAGAAATAATCCCTGAATTAATGCCCACCATGCCTGCTTGCATGCGTTGTGCGACCCTTAAGGCTCTACTCAGATCACGAGTAAAGAAATAGGAAGCAAGTCCTGCTTCTGTTGAATTACATAAGTGCATAACCTCCTCCTCTTCTTCAAAATCATATAAACAAACAATTGGAGAAAATAACTCCTCCGCACACACACGAGCATCAGCGCTAATCCCTCGACAGTCCAACACCGTCACTGGAAAGAAGTAACCGCCGCTGTTGCCACTCTTGCTGGGGTTGCTGCTGCTGCCGCCACTGGTGTTACTGCTGCTGCTGTTGTTGCCGAGAAGGAGTTTGGCTCCCTTGTTGCATGCATCTGCGACGAGGCTTTGTGCGCGCTCGACAGCAGCGGGGTTGATGAGGGGCCCCACAGATACTCCAAGTTGTCTGCCGCAGCCAACTTTCTGCTGCTTAAAGAGACGTGTTGCTTGGCGTGCGAACTCATCAAAGACGCTACCGTGTACGTACACCCGGTTGGCACTAACGCATGCCTGCCCAGAGCAGCGCAGCTTTGCTGCCAGCAGCCCCAAGACTGCCTCTTGTAAGTCTGCATCTGCGAAGACAACAAAGGGAGCGTTGCCTCCTAACTCTAACAGCAGCCGCTTGGTTGTTGATGCGCACTGTCTGTACAGATGGCGCCCCACAGCTGTCGAGCCTGTGAAGGACAGCACTGCAACGGCGTCTTCTGCTGCAACTGCCGCAGCAAAAGCAGCAGCCCCCGCGCGACACGAAGGCACGACGTTCAACAAACCAGGAGGAAGACCTGCTTCTCGTGCTGCTGCTGCTAGGGCTAAAGAAGAGAGGGGGGTTTCTTCTGATGGCCGCAGCACACAAGAGTTACCTGCAGCAAGTGCTGCAGATGCCTTACGAGCAGCCATAGCTAGAGGGAAATTGAAGGGTGTAATAAGCGCACAAACTCCCAATGGTTCCTTCAACGTGTACTGCAACTTGCTCCTCCCGCTACTGCTGCTGCTGCTGCTGCTGCTGTCTGCTGCAGGTATAACGAGGCCGTTTAGTCGCCGTGCTTCTTCTGCACTCCAACGAATATAAGAAGCTGCATACAACACCTCTTGCCTGCTCTCAGGGATTGGCTTGCCGCTTTCTAAGGTAATGAGCTGCGCTAACGACTCCTTCCTTTCCTCTATAAGCCGATGCCACTGCAGCAGCAAGTTGCTGCGGAGCAGCACCGAGCTGCCACCCCACCCCGGCTGCGCTGTTGCTGCAGCACTCACTGCAGCGCGAACCCAGGCAACACCCAGGTTGGGGGTACGACCTATCACCTCACCGGTACTCGGATCCCGCACAAACACATAGCGATCAGGGCCCCCACACACGCTGCTGCTGCTACTGCTGCTGTCACTGCTGCTGCCGCTGCTGCTGCTGTCACTGCTGCTGCCGCTGCTGCTGCTGTCGGCGGCGGGATGGGCAGCAGCCAACTGGTCGTACGGGTCTCGCACAAGCTGAGATCCAACAATGGCAGGGGTCACCTCGGGAAGAGAACATGATGCCTGCGTGGCAAGGCCACGTCTGCTGCAGCTGGTGCTGCAGCATCTGTAACTGCAGCAGCGCTGCGTGAGGGGCCCCTTGAGCTGCGCAGCAGCAGCTGGAGGGACTTCGCGAGTTGCACGAGCAGCTGGAACGGCAATTATTTGCAGGCTTTCTCTGAAATTTATTATATTTGCATTATTTAATAAGATACATTTATTTGTCCTAGCTAAAAATATGCTGGACAAGGGCTTCAGACCCTCGCAAACTGCAGGAGGGCGGAAGCGCATGTTGAGTCGGCTCTATACGAGCAGCAATAAAACTCCCTTAAGAACAATATTTTGTTAAATATTTTGTCGTCTTCGTGATTTTAATCAGGTAAATAAACAAAAGCATAGAAGAAGGAAGGATCCAAAGCATCATCCTGCATGAGCGCGCCCTGTGCTGCATCCATCAGGAGGCTGCAACACACACCAGCTGCTGCTGCTGTTCCAGGAGCAGCTGCAGCAGCTACAGCAGCACGCTGGCGCATATGTTTCCCAGTCTTGTCAGTCCATCTTCTCTACCCTTAGTTGAACTATACACACAAAATGTAACTGCTAAAGTAGTGGAGAGGAACAACACACTACTCACTCCTTAGCCGTTCCCTGTCCCCCGTAGCTACACGTGTCTACAGCTAGCATATCCTGCAAGAGTAAATTGGTGTGTATATGCAGCTTTGGCTGTACGTTTAATGCATGAGCAATACGAGGTACTCGTAACAACATAAGACTGGTTGCAGTGTCCTGCATACTGTGTATTTGTGGGGTCACTTAAGGTCATGCACAGTAATGCATCGGGGTATAGAGAGCAGATAAGTGGCATGAGGGCTTAAAAACGAGCCAAAACAGAATGCAGAAGAGACGCCTCTGTCTGCAGTCTCGGCAGGCTAGCAGTTACAGGTGTATTGACGCCAAGAGGGGGGTCATCAACACCAGCTGTTACTGGCCCCACAATATAGCGTCGTCGTACACTGCATGCGTTCTTGCTATTTAATTCTACGCTGCAACTGCATGCAGCTGCAAAGCTACTACACGCAGCTGGACACAAGCATGCATGCATGCATACATGCATGCACGCGACGGCTGCTGCAGCAACGGCAGTCGAAACATAAAAAACCTGCTGCTGCCGACCCTACCTCCCTGTATACGGTGAGGAGGAAGGGCCCTAAGGCACTGCAGCACAATACTGCAGCAACATGAGTTATTGCTGCTGCAAGGCAAAAAGAAAAAAGGCAGCAGCAGCAGCAGTGAAACCTGCTGTTGCTATCGCTGCTGGTTCTAAAATATTTAGTATAGCGCACCTGCTGAGTGTCGTTGCAGCACCGCTGCAACAATGCAATATTTAATGAGATTACAGGGGCCTCCCGCACCTGTACCCTCCATGCAGGTGTACGTCTGCAGTTGGGGTGTACGTACACCTCAAGAGGCAACGGGGGCCCTCGATAGCTGCGCATACAGCTCAGAGCGCACTGCAGCACTCAGCACGCCGTCATTAGCCCGCACCACCAATCGCCCTCGGCCTTGATGCACCCCCGATCCCAGCTCAAGCCTGAGAAGCATCAGCAACAGCAGCAGCAACGAATACTGTTAGCACGCTGTAGAAGGCAAGTTCATGCATATGTTGTATGCATGATGACTCAGAAGGCTCACCGGGCAAGGACAATTAGGCGATCGAAGGAGTGCTGCTGCTGCTGCTTCTGCCTTTCCTGTTGCTCTTCTTCCCCCTCCTCCCGCTGCTGCGGCTGCTGTTGCTGTTGCTGCATGTGCAGCCCCCGAGGCTGCTGCATGCTGCCCGCAACTGCCAATGTCTGTGCGTGGCCTTCACCTGCTGCAGCGCACAAGGCAAGAGCTCCACCCTGCAGGAAGCAAACAGCAACAGCGGCAGCAGCAGAAGAGAACACCTGAAGTATGCTGATCCAAAAGGAATGTTTCTTTGCCCTGCAGCAGGTGCATCAACAAAAGGAAACGTCGCAAGCAAAAGCAGCAACGAGCAGCAGCAAGCACTACAGCAGCAGCAAGAACCTCAGCATCAAGAGCAGCAACGGCCAAAACAGTAGCATAACCAGCAACAGCAGCACCAATGGGAAGCTTACGAGTTGGAGGCGGCGGACAAGGACAAGCATTGAGGCTTGCAGCTGCGAATGGAGGTTAAGAACACATGCAGCTGCAGATACACAAGGAGACACACAGAAGGAGAGACAAATAAAAGGAAGAAAAGATAAAGAAAATACAACAGCAGAGCATACAGCAACAAGCAACAGCAGAGCATACAGGAACATGAGATAAGAAAGGCAGCAGCCTCTACGGGAAGAGACACGGGGAGAGAGGGAGAGAAACACAATCAGCAATAAAAGGCATAAAGGATACAATAAAGAATAACTCAGGAAGGATACAAACAGAGGAACAAATAACACCTCACAAAGGACAGAAACCCAGAAATCCCCAACCCCCCTTCTTCTTGCTGCTGCCTGCATGCATAATGCATGCATGCATGTCTGCATGCATATATTATATTTTATTATTATTGCATTTACTTTCATTTAATACGAAGTTTTGTTTACACCAAAGATCGAAGAATTCATCTGCATGCATTTGCTGCCCCTCAACAAAAGAAGAAAGAGAAAGAGGTAAACAAACCTCACGACGCCAAGGGGTTGCATCAGGCATTCTGCAGCAAATAAATAAATAAATAACTAAATAAATAAATAAACTTAATTAAATAAATTAATTATATGAAGAAATTATGAATAAATAGATACGCTGATTAATTGACTGATTGATTCATTAGACACAGAATAAAGAAACACAAGGAGGGAGGGAAAAGGGAAAGATATAGATAAAAACAAATTAACGGGAAAATATAAACAAAAAATACACACCAAGGAAGAAAAGAAATAAACGGAAAAAAGAGGGAGAAAATAAACAAAAGTGCTGAGCTGATGGTCTAGGTTTAGGGGTTACAGCAGCTACAACAACTGCACGCATGCATGCATGCATGCACGCATGCATGCGTGCAGTTGTTATAGCATGCCACATGTATAAGCACATGTATGCGTGCATGCATGCATGCAGAGGGAAGAAGTATGTTGTGGCTTACAAAAAGGAGACCCGCATAACTGGGCAGTATTCAAAAGGTGCAACACACTGCAGCAGCAAATGCTGCAGCAAAACAACACAACAGCAGCAGCAGCAACCACAATCTATCACAGCAGCAAACGGAAACGCAGCTGAAACAATGTCCCGGAAGCAGCAGCAGCAAAAGCTACAGCAACAACAACAACAGCAGCAGCAGCAGAACGCACTTGTGCCACCTGCTCCCTTCCTCTGATTTGCTGCAGCTGCTGCTGCGGATCTTCGGGCTCCAGCAGCAGCCCTCCCTCCCGCGGCAGCAGCAACTCGCAGCAAAACTGCTGCAGCATGCTGCTTCTCTTGTTGCCAAAGTAAATACTAATGCGACCCCCTAAACCCTTTATTGCCTTCTGTATACCGATCTGAAGAAGGCATCAGCAGCAACAGCAGCAGCACGTAATACAGCAGCCGCAGCAGCAGTAAAAAGGTAGCAGCAGCAAACATAACAGCAACAGCAGCCGCACCAGCTAACTCGTAGCTACAGCTGCATCTTATGTGCATGCTGTCTAAGAGTATCAATGCAAAGAGCAGCACAGACAGCAACAACAGCAGCAAAGATAGCAGAAGCAGCAGCAACAGCCACAACGGCAGCAGCAGCAGCAATACCTGCAAGGTCTCGTCCTCTAGAAGCACGCCGCTGTCAGTGAGAAGCAGCGGCAAGAAGCCTGTGTCCATGCATCTGGCTGCAGCAACGTGAGGCAAAGGACAGACAGCATCTGCTGTTGCTGCTGATGCAGACGCTGCTGCTGCTAAATCCTGCAATCCCGTATTGAGTCCGCGTTGCTGCAGCACAGCAGCACAGGAACGCAACAGCACCCTACATCGCTTGTTGCCCACAGTCCCTTTAGCTGCAACATGAACAACAGCAACAGCAGAAGCAACAGCAGCAGCAATAGCAGCAAATAGACATACATTTGAATGCCACACGGGACCGTCCCCTGAAGCAAGCGGCTCGTCCACTGTGTCTGCAACAGACTCGACGCATGCCGTGCTGCTGCAGAGGTTATCCACCATCCGCTGCTGCTGCTGCTGCTGCTGCTGCAGTTGCTGCTGGTGCTGGCGCTGCAGCAGCTTTCCGGTGATGCGCGCGCCCCTAAGGGAATCACCGCCTAAGCCCATAGGCAAAGAGCTTGCGGTGCTGCAGCGCCCTGGAGACAGCGACCTGTCCGCAGCTGCAGCAGCTGCTGCTGCCTGTTGCTGTTGCTTGTGACGGTCATCAATCCTTTTGCCTTCTGCTGATGGTGCTGCTGCTGCTGCTGCTGCTGCCTGCACAACAGCAGGTGTTGTATACAGCAGCCGCTGCAGCCCCTGCAGCTCCCGCTGCAGTCGCCGCTGCTCTTCAGTGCCATTTAAAATTGTTTCTTCATGCAACGCTATCGTCCGCTCAGCAACTGCAGCAGCACAAGCAGCAGCAGCACAAGCAACAGCAGCACAAGCAGCAGCAGACACCATAGAACGATAGCAGGCAACTTCTACCAGTCAGCAGCAGCAGCAGCAACAGCCTTTTTACAGATTCCCGACTGCAGCAGCAACAGGAGCAGCTACAGTGGTAACGGCTACAGCTACAACTGCAGCAGCAGATGCAGGAGCAGCAGCAACAGCAGCAAGCGACACGGCCCACTGTCTAGGTCATCGGCTAGCTTGGAGGCTCTCTCGCTTTCTTTAAGCCACATCTCCTTGGCTAATTCTGCTGCTGATGCTCGCTGCTGCAGCAGCTGCTGCGTTGCTGCTAAGGAATCCTCTGCTGCTTTTTGTGCTGCTTTGCTAGCTTTCAGGTCCTGCTGCAGCTGCTGCAGCTGCTCCTGCTTCTCCTCCAGCTGTTCCCGCAGCACCTCGCGCTCGGCCTCACTAGCAGCAAGAGTTGCTGCTGTCTGTGCTGCTTCAGCCTCAGCAGCAGCTAGCTGTTGCTGCAGCTTCTGCTGCTGCCGCCGCAGCTGATGCACCTCCTCACGTAGTTCTGCTGCTCCTCGTTGCTGCTCCTCGCTTTTGCTGCTGTCTTCTGCTGCTGTCTCCTTGCTTGATACCCCTTCCTCCGCATCCGCCTCCCGCTGCTGCAGCGTCTGCTGCAGTTCGTGCTGCAGCTGCCCAAAGCTGCTGCGAGCAGCAGCAACAGAACCTGCATCCGAGCTCTCTCCTTCGGCCAAGGAATCTAAAAAGGAGACCTTCTGCAGTAGCAACAGCATGCAACAGCAGCAGAAAAACTAGGTACCTCAAAAAATGCAGCAGCACACATGTCGTAAACAGCAGCAGCAGAAGCAGCAGCAGCAGCAGCACCAGCTACCGCCAAGAAAGCCGCTGCAACACTCGTAGAGCGCATATCCAGCGGACGAGCAGCAGCAGCAAACACCACCCGCCATAACCATCCACGAGCAGCAGTAATTAGCAGCAAACATAAACCAAAGCAACAAAAGCAACAGCAGCAGCAGCAGCAGCAGCAGCCGTAGAGGGAACGGGAGCAGCAGCAGCGGTAACAGCAGCAAGTGGTGTGACTAACCTTCTCTAAAGGACTCCCCAGAGGATGGATGCCCTCTTGAGCTTGGTGTCGCTGCTTCTGCTGCTTCTCCTTTGCCTCCTGCTGCTGCCATTGCTGTTCCTCCTCCTGGTGGTGGTGCTGCTGCTGGGCATCAGGCCCGCCCCACACAGACGCACTATTGAGGAACGGCTCTGGGGGCCACCAGCCAGGGGGCGAAGGCCAGACGGGTTCCTCGATAGAATTTTGTTTGCTGCTGCTGCTGCTGTCATGCTGCTTCTGGTTCTGCTGCTGCTGTTGGACCTGCTCTTGCAGTTGCTGCTGCAGTTGCTGCTGCAGCTGCTGCTGCAGCTTCTGCTGCCGACCAGGAGGGGAAAAATCAGAGCCACTGTCTGAAAGGGCGGAGGAAAAAGCCCCAAAATCCTCGAAGGCGGTAGCAGCACTGCTAAGTCTGTTGCTTGCTTGCTGCCGCTGCTGTTGCTGTTGCTGCAGCTGCTGCTCTCCTGCAGGGTCTGCCGCACCTAAGTGCCTCCAGCTGCTGTGAGAAGCAGCAGCAGCTGCTGCTGCTTCCATACCTTCGTTCTCTCCAAACTCCAAGGAGGCCCCGCGCACTTCATGCGTACCTAGAGCTGCGACGGCAGCAACAGCAGCAGCAGCAACAGCAGCAGCAGCGTTGGCAGCAGACACGGGTAGCACATGGGCAGGACTTCTATAGCCGCTGCTACCTAATGGTGTCTTTATAAGCATCCTTACCTGCGGCACTTTGTGGTGGAGCTGCTGCAGCAGCAGCAGCCTCAGGAGCAGCAGCAGCTGCTGCTTCTGGCAACGGTGCAGGGTCAGGAAAAGAGATCTCGTCAACATTAAATGCTGCTGCTGCTGCTGCTGGTGCTTCCTCTACACGTTTAGAATCTCTTGAATGGCTTCTGCTGCTGCTGCGCTTTTCCTTCCGGCTGCTGCTGCTGCGACTGCTGCTGCTGCGACTGCTGCGCTTATTGCTTGAGCTCTTGCTGCTGGGGCTGCTGTGCTTGTTCTCCTCAACTGCAGCAACGGCGTCAGCCGGGACTCTCCCCTCCCCGTTTTTGTGTTGCTGCTGCTCCCGTTGCTGCTCTTGTTGCTCCTGCTGCTCTGGGGCCTGTTTCTCCTGCTGCACCTCCTGAGGCTGTGCCCATTGTGTCTCTTGAAGCTGCTGCTGCTGCTGCTGCTGCTGCTGCTGTTGCGCTGTATCCACTGGCTCATCGGCAAGCGGGAACAGCATAAGCTCGTCTGCAGCTGGAGTCGTAACAGCAGCAGCAGCTGCTGCTGCTGCTGGTGTTGCTGCTGCTGGTGCTGCAGCGGGAGACTCCAGCTCTATTGGATCTGAATGGAGAGGCGTACGCACATCTGTGCTACTTGTGGGGCCATCAGAAGGAAAGAGAGATAAAGAAGCTGTTTGCGTGTCTTCCTGTGCTGCTGCTGCTGCTATGGGGCCTGTTCCTGGTGGTGGTGGTGTTGCTGCTGCTGCTATGGGGCCTGTTGCTGGTGCTGCTGCTGCTGGTGCTGTTGCTGGTGGTGCTGGTGGTGCTGGTCCTTCTGGTGCAGCTGCAGCTACAGCACCACCTTCGTCCTTCGGTTGGTTCAATTCCGGTTGCTGCTGCCGCTGCTGTTCCTGTTGCTGTTGCTGCTGTTGCTGTTCCAGCTGCTGCCGCTGTTGTTCCTGCTGCTGTTGCAGCTGCTCTTGCTGCTGCCGTTGTTGGAGTTCCTGCTGCTGCTGCTGCTGTTGCTGCTGCTCCTGCTCAAGCTGCTGCCGCACCGCCTGCACGTTCTGCAGAGTTGTCTCCACGTTGTCAAGCACCTGAAGATACACCCCGGATGCAGCAGCAGCAGCAGCAGCAGCAGCAGCAGCATGCTTAACTGAATTGGAGAAACAGCATCTACAACATCCGCAACAGCAGCAGCAGCTGCAGCAGCCTGCATGCATGCAAGCGTACCTTTGACAAATCCGCAAAGCGATCAAGGCGGCCTTCATCAACAACTTGTGCTGCGTCTTGTTGCAGCTGCTGCTGCTGCTGCAGCAGCTGCTCCTTCATAGATTCAATCATAACCATCCCCTCAGCTGTTGGCTGCTGCAGCAACTCCTGCAGCAACTCCATGCTCGAGAGGACCTCTACACACAAACAGCAGCAGAAAGAACAGGAGCAACAGATGTAAGTAGACAATGCATGCAGTACTGCAGCAGCAGCAGCAGCAGCAGCGGGTGCAGCAATAAAATCAGCAGCAGCATTCTTGTGCTTTGCTGCTACTGCACCTGACAGCCAGATAAAATCAAAAGGAACTCCCTCTTAAGAACAACAGCAGCAGCAACAGCAGCAGAAGCAGCAGCAGCAACAGCAGCAGTAGCAGCAGCAGCAGCAGCTGATGCTCACCAGCAATGTGCATATCGATTGCTGCACTCGATGATACAGTGTTAGCCTGTGTGCTGCGTCCCTGTTGTTGCTGCTGCTGTTGTTGCAGCTGTTGCTGCTGCAGCAGCAGCTGCTGCTGTTGCTGCATCTGGTGTGGGGAGTTGGTAATCTGCAGCGTATCCTGTCTGCAGCGCAGCAGCATCTGCTGGTGCTGCTGCAGCAGCACCTGTGCAGAGGAGCCGCAGACAGCAGCAATCTCTCCCTCAGGCAGCAAAGGAGACGTTTCTATGCCTAATGCATGCATTGCTGCAGCAGATCTCTTAAGTTCGTGCTGCAGCGCGGGAGGATCTGCTGCTGCTGCTGCCGCTGCTGCTGCAGTGTATATACACCGAGCAGCAAGAGAACCGCAGCAGCACAACTCCGCCTCTGTTGTCCCTGCAGGGAAAAGAACCTTTAGACGTGCTTGTGCTGCTAGTGCTTGCTGCTTCTGCTGCTGCTGCAGCGGCTGCTTCCTCCGTGACACAGGGCGAGGAGTCCGCAGCAGCACGAGAGCAGCAAACTGCTGCAGCCATTGACTTAACGGAAGGGAAGCTGTTAATGCTGCAGCAGCACCTCTGCTGCTGCTGCTGCGGCCGCTGCTGCGCGGCAGCGAAGACTGTGCTGCAGCAACTGGCAGCAATGCAGCAACTAAGCGGAAGTAACTTGATGCCTCTAGCAGCTGCAGCAACAGTAGCAGCGCAAGAAGCTTGCTGTCTGCTGCAGCAGCTGGCTGCAGCAGTCGCTGCTGCACCAGCACCTGTGCAACAGCTCGCGCCCTCCCAAGATCCTCACAAGCAGAAGCAACAGCTCCTGCTGCTGCTGCTGCTGCTGCTGCTGCTGCTACACGATCACGATTTGAAGTAGACCCATAAGGCCTCGGGATAGTTGCTGCTAGGGCCTGCAGCAGCAGCACGCAGCAGCAACAGCAGCAGCACGCAGTTAAACATGCAGCAGCAAAAGACAGCAAAGCCTGCAGCTGCAGCAAAACAACACTGCAGCAGCAGCCACTTCCTTTGCTGATGCAGGGCAGGAGCAGCGGCTACAGCAGCAAAACGACGTCGTAGTCATACTAGTGCTGCTGCTGCTGCTGCTGCTGCTGTATCTACAGAGGAGTATCTTACCTGTTGTGCTGCAGCAGACGCATCAGGTGTTGCTGCATTTGCTGCTGCAACATTTTGCTGCAGTGCGCGCAGCTCCTTTTGCTGCTGCCGCTGCGCGGAAGAACGCCACGAAAAGATACCCATCTTGCTGCTGCTGTTGCTGCTGTTGTTTCTGCTGCTAATAATGCTACTGCTACTGCGGCTGTCGAGTAGGCGACGGCCACCTTGTATGGAGGTGTTGCTGCTTCTGCTGCTGCTGCTCCTGCTGCTGCTGCAGCAGCAGCAGCAGGAGCTCCTGTAAGGGTTTGGTCCCTAGGGGCCACTGGAGGCAAAGAGACTGCCTCATCTAAACTCCCCATTCACACCTGCTGAGGAGTACCTGCAGCAGCAGCAGCTGCTGCTGCTGCAGCAGCTCTGCTGCTGCTGCTGATTCAAACCACAAGCCCCTAGGCTACCCCTGCTGCCCTTACAGCGCCAGCTGTCCTTGGGTGCAGCAGAGATGCTGCCGACTTCTTAGTTCTCCTGGAGGACCTGTTGTTGCTGCTGTTGCTCCTGTTGCTGCTGTTGCTGCTGCTGCTGCTGTCGTTGATGCTGCGGTTGTTGCTGCTGAGGGAACGGCAGCAGAGTCTTCTATACAGCGCAGCAGCTCAGGTGCTGCTGCAGTGGTGTAAAGCTAAAAAGAGAAGAGGTTGAGGGAAAAGGGGTTTGTTGGGCTGCAGCAGCAGCAGCAGCTGCTGTTGTTGCTGCTGTTGCTGCTGGTGTTGCTGCTGCTGGTGCTGCATGCCTAGACGGCGAAGGTGTAGAGTCGCAGCAGCAGCACCAACACTTTATCTGTTTCCTTAGTTCAAACAACTATAAACAAACACTTTATATTCGATAGGACAGCAGCAGCAGCAGCAGCAGCAGCAGCAGCTTAGGGGGCCAATCGACGGTCAGCGCTGCCGCTGCTGCTACTGCTAGCAGCAGCAGCAGCAGGAATCGGCAGCAGCAGCTGTAGCTGTCGTGATCGTTGCTCACGTGTCTATGCTGCTGCTGCCTCTTTTCTTATTAAAACTTTGTCTTAAGAATTAACTATTTTACTTTGTTTTTTAATTAAACATCCTTTAGCTGCCGCTAATGCTGCAGCAGCAACAGCAGCAGCGGACAGCAGCCACTGCCTGTGGGCTGCGCCGCCGCCGCTCCGGCTGCAGCGGTTGCAGCAGCAGCGGGAGCTGCAGCAGCAGCAGCTGCTGCTGCTACAATATATATATAGATTCATTTTATTGTTTGTGTCGTTTCTTCATTTTTACCTTAAATAATTTTGCTGCTGCTCCGGCAGCTGCAGCTAGTGCGGCAGCAGCAGCGGCATCAGCAGCAGCTACTACTACTACTATTGCTGCTGCTGCTGCTCAGCAGCAGCAAACAGCGGCCTTCCCATGTAGTTGTCTACGCACCTGCAGCTGCTGCGATCCCCTTTGTCCCAAAGACACTGACATGAGTTGTTGCTGCCGTGGCTGCTGTTGCTGTTGCTGCTGTTGCTGCTGCTAATATTCGCTGCGCAGACACCGCAGGAATAGAGAGGCAGTATCACTGTAGCCAGTGTGGGAGAGAGGAACGCAGCAGCAACAGCAGCAGCAGCAGAAGCCAAATCAGTAGTAGCAGCAGCATGTTATATTCCCCTTATAGTGTAAGGGAGAGGGAATAACTAACAACTATGCGGATAGCAGCAAAGAGGGGCAAACCTTTTGCTGCAGCAGCAGCTGCTGCTGCACCAAGCGGCAGCAACAATCCAGCAGGCATCATAACTGCAGCAGCAGCTTCTGCTGCTCTTCTTGCTGCTGCTGTCGTTAGACATGCTCCTGTTGCTGCTGCTGCTGTTGCATGCATTCTGGATATAGGAAGGGGGCCCCCGTAGTGTCTCTTTCCTCTATTAGGTGTCTCCTTTACTACCATTAATAATAAATATTTCTCCTTAATTAAGACATACATTATCTGTCTCCTTTTTATTATTACTATCTCTATTAAGGGGCCCCCTAATGGGGGCCCCCTAGATAGGGTACACAAAATGGTAAAAAAAGAATAAAATTAAATAGAAAGAAATAAAGAAAAACAAGGACAGTAAATAACTTTTATTCTCTCTATCTTATGGGGGGCCCCTCCATATAGATCATTTAAGGACCCTAAAAGGGGCCCCCCTTTCTTGCGCTATAGAGGGAGGGCCTCCTCAAGGGGCCCCCAATATATCCCCTTTTGGTTGTACCCTTAAGGGTCCCGTGCTGCATTCTTCTGGGGGGCCCCCTCAAGGGGCCCCTACTGCATATATCCTCAGGAGTGACTAGTAGGTGCTGTTATTAGTTATATATAAAGGAAATAAAAAAAGAATAATAATAAATAAATATATAATAGCAACAAAAGAATAAATATAAATAAAAAAAGACAAATAATAAATAAAATAAAATAGCAAATTAATTAATAATAAATAAATAAATAATCAATTTATATACTTATTTAATTTAATTAATTAATTATTTAATTTATTTATTTATTTATTTATTTATTTATTTATTTATATAAATATATAAATAAATAAATACTCCGAGACCGGGAATTGAACCCGGGTCTTCCGCGTGACAGGCGGAAATACTAGCCACTATACTATCTCGGACTAATTTTTTTTCCCTGTCTCCTTTTTATTTTTTCTTTTTGTCTTTTTTTTTTTTTTTTTTTTTTTTTTTTTTTTTTTTTTTTTTTTTTTTTTTTTTTTTTTT